GTGATGGGATCAAGTGTCTTGAAGATGGCTGCTTTGGCGACGTTGTCCAGATTGTGCTTTTTGCAATCTCTATCATCCCATTTTTCCTTGGGCTTTGGAATGTACTGGACTACATCTGGAGTTGCTGGATTCCTCTCAGGATTCTCCATTTGGATTTTCAAGGGTCCATCCTCAAGCACCATCCACATGCAATCATGTAGAGCGTAGAGGTGTGAAAGAATGTTCACCATTATGATTGCATAACCTAGATGAGAAAACTTGGGCAAACCGTGATCCATATTGTTCACCATTATGATCGCTTCTCGTTAATCTAAACGTAGATAGTGAGAAGTTTGCTCTGATACCAATTGGTGGTCCCAAAGTGGTGAAATACAAAGTCTAGAGGGGGGGGTGAATAGATTTTGTTGCAGATTTAAAATCTTTTTCGTTTCTTTTGAAAACGTGAAAATAAGTGTTAATCTAGAGTTCTTGTGAACTTTAGATTGTGTGCGGAATTTGGTGGGTAGAGTGAGCAGTAATCAATATGGATAGGTTAGTTTTCACAGTTAATATAATTGCAACTAAGAGTAAAGATAAAAGAGAGAGACACGCAAACTTTAACGAGGTTCAAAGGTGGGGTAATCCTTCTACGTCCTCAAAATCCACTATGTAGTTGGTTGTTGAATAATGAACCAACAATTACACTTGTGTGAATTTCTGCACGGTATATCTTCGCAAGGCCAATGTTGCTACTGCACTCGTGCTGGCTTTGTTGTTCCTTCGAAGGTCACGCTTCTTCAACAACTACAACGTCCGAACAATAGGACTTGCAAGATCAACTTGTAAGAAAGTTGACCTACCCCCTTTTAATCAATAAGTTTGATCAAAAGTTATATCCTTCAACGTGGTGTGGTACTTGAGGCAAGGAAACCTTCAAGTGTTTACACTATAGCTCTTTGGAAGGAGGAGAAGTTTGCTTCTGGATAAGGAGTTTAGAAATCTCTCTTTATCAAGCTTTTTGGGCTAACTGTGAATGAGATAGCTTTGTTGTTAGAGATTGCTTCGTTGTGTTGTTGTATGCCTTTTTTTTCTCTAGTCTTCCAAGGGTGCTATTTATAGCTGGATTGGATAATCTATCCGTTGAATCATAATAGACTATCCGTTGCATTTGCTGGCTTCAATTTTGAATGAAGATTGTGATTTGAAGATTCTTTGTTGAAGTGGGTGTTTGGACGTACCCAATTGTTGAGGAAGGATTCCTTTTTCCACAGAATCCGTCTTCTAGCTGTTGTTCAAGAATTCAAGACTGTAGCACTTTACTCTGTTTGTCTTCTAGTGCTTGTTTAGGAATTCTGGGCAGGCTCTTCATTTTTAGAGGTCCAGACTTTGTCTTCGAGTCATTTGTTCTTGAATCAGCATAATTATCTTCAATTTAGCCGTTGAAAATCAAGAGATTGGTTTTTCCTTACCAACGAGTAGAATTTCTTCATTCAAGACTTAGATAATTTTTCTAAATCTTTTCTCACTTGTCCGCTTTCTGAGAATTCCGGTCTTCAATGAGTCTTTCGATTCTTAGCCGACAAATCCGGAGGAGTCATTCTCAGACTTCCGGGTGAGAAAGAGATCCGCGCTAGTCTTCCGATTTTGGATGACTTAGCCTTCAGCGGGTTGTAGCGAGACATCCGGTTCTTATGTAGTCTTCCGGATCAGAGGATTTTCATTTGCTTGAGAAATCCTTACTTGTCTCTGACATTTCCGATCAAGATATCCAATTTCCATATCACTGAATTTGATTAAGTCTTCAGGCATCAAAACGCTTAAGGAAATATCACAACTTTATTGGAAATCTCAAAAACTCGGTTTTAACAATATTTCTAAAAAGAAAAATTACATTGAATATTGGGGGAGACCTAAAGTCCCTATTACATTCTAAATACATCATCATCAAAATCTATAATATTTTTCCCAACAAGTGCCAAAATATGAGTTTCATATTTTTTATCTCCAAAATATTAACAACAATACCAATATTTTATTATATAGTGCTAAAAACATTATGAAATGGTAATATACAGTGCCAGAACGTCACTGTGTAAACTTTATTTAGGAAATAAAAATATTGAACTCTTATTCTGGGCATAAGATTTATGTCCTACTTCTATTTGATTGATTTTTTTAGTTTTGTTTAGGAAATATGTACAGAGTAATATATATGGAGTAGTAACTACCAAAAGTTTCCTTCTACACTTATATTACCTTATATATCTTTTTTTATTTTACAAAATCATCATCTTTCCTTCAACTTTTTGGGAACCTCTTTGCATACCCTTCTTTTTTTCTTCTATAGTGTAGATAAGTGAAATTGTGAAAACTATTGTGTAATTGATGATGTACTCACACTTCATTTGGTAAGTTTAAGGGAGGGCATCATTAGTAATCTATTTAAAAAGGAAATTGATAGCATTATTTTTTGGTGAATTATATTATTTTCCATATTCTTTGCGGAGCTTACGAGAACAGATTTCCAATTTTGTTGATCGGAACTCCAAAATTTATTATTTAGCTACTAAACATGAAGAGATTCCTTTTTTCTATATAACAAGGTTAAAGTATACAAAATTTGACCAAAAAAAGTCAAATGAAAATATTAAATCCGAATGGAGACTAAGTTACAAGTTACAACCACATCAAAGAGAAATATAATTTCAAATTTATAATTATTTGTATTTTAATAAAACATTTTGTATATTGACGAGAATACTATCAAGGGCTTGAATGGTTTTGCATTATAAAAGTGAAAAAGAAAAGTTTGCATATGATCTTATGAGATACTTATCTACGATGAATGAATATCATCACAATATATACGATGAGATAATAGAAGTTGTGACACCTGAAAGAGGAGGTTTCTTTTTTATATATGGTTACAGTGGAACTGAAAAAATATTTTTTTATGGAAATCAGTGTTTATTTCTCTAATGTCAAATGATAAGGATTGTCTTGAATGTCACATCCATTTGTATTGCAGCATTACTTTTTCATGGGGGAAGGACATGGGTGAATGACATTACACTTGAGATTCTCAATCTCTTTGGGAGATTGCATAACGTGTGCCATCAAACAAGAGAGTCCGAAAGCAGAACTAATCCAACAAGTAAGTCTAATAATATGAGATGGAGCATGTATGATGAATAGATTTATTTTTAAGGTGCTGGATCACAAAATAAGAGATGTAATGAATTTCTCTAATAAAAACTCTAGAAATGAACCATTTAGTGGGAAAATAGTTAAATTCGGAGGGGAAAAAGTAGGACTCGAAGGGAAAATAGTTGTACTCAGAGGTGATTTTTGGCAAACTCTTCCTGTTTTAGCCAAAACTTCAAGAGAGAAAATTGTGAGTGCTATCATCTATTCTTTAAAATTATGGTCGTATTTTAAAATTTATATGTTAGCGAAGAATATGATATTACATTCTTCTACGTCCTCTATCCCAGAGGGACACACAAATTTTTTCTGATTGGATAATTAAAGTTAGAGATGAAAAACTTAGACAAGTGATTGATGAAACAACTGACCTTAAAATTCCGCATAAATTATTAATTCTAGACACAAATTATTTTGTGAAGAGTATAGTGGACTTCACTTATCCTAATTGAACCTATTTGAGAGTATGAAAATTTATTCATTTTTTAGGATAGGGCACTACTGGACCATGCTTGAGGTTGTAGAAATGGTAAATGAATTTGTCATATCCCTCATTCCCTAATATGAAATGGTGTGCCTGAGTTTTGATTCTTCATGTCAGGCCGATTCAGATGTAATTATTGATGACAATTAAATAACAATTAAATTTTAAATGAAATCAAATGTTCGGGGATCCAAAACTACAAAATAATCTTAAAAATGGGTTAACGATTTTGATATTGAGAAACATTGACCAAATATATGGATTATGTAATGGTACACGATTAATCCTTGAAGAGCCGTGAAAGAATGTTGTTGGTCTATTGTGGTTTTGAGAAATCGAGTCAGCAAAAAGTTTACATACTCCAAATGAAATTGATACCATCTGATCTAGGACTATTCTTGAAGTTATTTATAAGGCAAATCTATATAGTTTTATATTTTGCAATGACTATCAACAAAAGTCAAAGTCAAACATTGTCATTTCTTGCATTTCTTTTAACCAAGTTGGTATTCACTCATGGTCAGCTTTATGTTATGGTTCCATGAGTGAAAACAAAAACACAATTAAAAATATTGGTTCTAGATGACAATGATACCCTTGCAACAATATCAAAAAAATTATATACCCTACAATCTTTCAAAAAGTTTGGTATTAAAAAAACTTGGTTGAATACACATTCAATTCCTCAAATATTGTTTATTCTACTTTGGAACTTTTGTATATAGCATTAAAAGTCATAGGGAAATATATTTTCTTTATTCTGGGAAAAAATATTGCATTAAAAAAAGTTTTAGAACCAATAAAAATTTTGTTCGACACCGTGCGTTGCACGGGTAAAAATACTAGTATATATTAAATTTGAGAGTTAAACTCTTAGAATTGCGACAAGTGGCGAATTTACATGGCAACATTTTAACAAACCACCCGCCACCTATTAACGATTGAATGACGTGGCAATTTTAATCAAAATATGGGTAGATCCAATTTAAGTTATAAAAAATTATTTGGAAAAAAATACTCTGTACCAGAATAGGAATAACCATGGAGAAAATACCAAAATAAAAATACATACTTCCTCCGTTCTCAAAAACACTTCCTCTTTCATTTTTTCCACTTCCAACAAAACACTTCCCTTTTCTATTAAAAAACCACTTTTACCCTTACTTTTTCATATCCTACCTATCACATCATACTTTTTCTCTAATAATCTATCCATCACATCTTACTTTTACCCATCACATCAGGGGCAAAATTGGAAATCAACTATAATTTAACACTTCCTTATTTTTACCCTAAGACAAAATGGTAAGAGTTTTTCCAAACAGAGGGAGTATTTTTTTATCTCCAAAATAGGAGCTGCCAAACATTAAGAGATTCCTTAGTTCAAAAAAGAAGTTATTGGTAATGCATTTCTATAAAAAGACAATGTTTGTTCTATATATCGAGGTTAAAGTATACAAAATTGACAAGAAAATTCAATTGAGAAGATCAAATCTAAACACAGAGGAAGTATTATTGAAGAAATTAGAACCTACATGAAATTTTTTGCAATTGAGTGAGAACTAAAATTCATTTTTTTGATTAAAAATTTTATAAAATCAACTTCTAAAATAATAGTTACATTTTTCACATAAAATTTTAAAAAATTATCACATAAAAATAAGCACATGTATTTTACATCCAAAAATTTTTTCACTTGATATGAATTTATTTTTAAACAAAAAACAAATATAGTTGCAAGGGTTTTCACAAAGAAAAATTACAAAATATTTTAAAATAATCATAGGTATTTCACTTCTGACTTCATTGAAGTCACAACTACTACTTTTTAAAAAAAACACAAAAAAATATTTGCATGAAATATATACAACAAAACAATATTTGCAAAAAAAAATGAATCACATACTTTTCATACGTGAATTTTATCAAAATTCTACATAGATATGAAGTGGGGGATCGGAGGCGAGGTCATCCTCATTCAAAATTTACTAGCGTGAACATGAGTGGCTAATAGAGGGACACAAAACATTAAGGTTCCCCTAAATGCACAATTGGGATAAAATTATAATAATTATAACGGAGACCTAAATTGGAAAACAGAAAATTGCTGCCAGGTACCCTCGGTTTTGTGATAAGAACTCACATGTTCCATTTTAAAAAAAATATACTCTGGTGTACCTTTAATTATATGAAAACTAACTCCGGGGGCTTTCTGTCCATCCCTCCATCAAAATCATTTTCTCCGTTAACTTTTCATCTTCTTCCCAAAATTATTGTCAGGTACCCCCAATTTTGTAGAAATAACTTCCAAGTCCCATCATTTTAAAAATATACTCCGGGTACCCTAGAATATCCAAAAACTTGCTTTGGAAGATTTTTTCATTTATTATTATTATTGTTATTATTATTATTATTATTATTATTATTATTATTATTATTATTATTACTCTTAGATTATTATTATTATTATTATTATTGTAATTGTTATTATTATTATTATTATTATTATTATTACTATTACTAGTATTACTATTATTAGAGAGTATTATTATTATTATTAGTCACTTTATCATTATCTTCCGCAGTTGTGCCGCTTTGCCTATTGAGTTGAGTAGGATTTTTGCTACATGCACTAGAAGAATAATAATAAATATAATAATAATAATAATAATAATAATAATAATAATAATAATAGTAATAGTAATAATAATCGCAATAATAATAATAATGAAAGGAAAAAAAAATGAAAATCCCCCATTGTAACTTTTTGGATATTTTAGGGTACCCCGGAGTATATTTTTAAAAATAATGGGATCTGAAAGTTACTTTTACAAAATTAGAAGTACCTAACAGCAATTTTTGGAAAGAAAATGAAGAAAAGATAATGGAAAAAATGAATTTGACGGAGGAATGGACGGAATGTCCCCCCGAAGTTAGTTTTCGGATAATTAAAGGTACCCCATGCCAGAGTATATTTTTCAAAAAGATGGGACCTGTGAGTTCTTATCACAAAACCGAGGGTCCCGATAGCAATTTTCTGATTGGAAAAAGGTTAATTAGAAAGGGTCATTTTAAAAAATTACTCTACATTTAAATGTTGAAAATAGCTAAATTTCCTCCATTGAACATCCATTTAACAAACATATACGGGGACACTGAGTGAATAAATTTCAACTATAAAGTACTACATAGATCATTAATGCTTAATAACACTGATTTTGGAAAATACGTATACATTATTCGAAAAGATTATTTTGAGATTACTCAAAGAAATAAATACAATATTTATTTCAAAAATAATAGTCTTGCTACTACAAGATATCATATCCAAATTTAAAAAAACAAATTATAATGCATATCATATTATTATTAAAAAATTAAAATAAATAAAATTAAATTTTAATTCATATTATGTTTATATATTAGTTAAACTTTTAACAAACTTACAAAATGTTAACATAAAATATATGTGTTAACATATAGATATATTTTATAGAAAAATATGCGAGCACATGCGAAGCACGGGGTAAAAACTAGTATATCTATGTAAAAGAGAGTTCCAAAGTTGTGGTAACGACATGTGTCATGCCACGCGTGCATACTAATAACATGTGCCACGCCACATGTAAATCACATGACACATTTCCATCCATGCATGCATAGTCAATTTTGTTTTAAATAATCCTTATTTTTATTTTTTTATAAACACTTCACTTTCCAACAATAAAAACCATTATTTTTATTAGCTTTTTTTAAACTTTTCACTTTTTGACTATGTTAAAAATATTTTTTCATTGTTTTAACATATTTTTAAAATATGCACGACTATTTTTTAATTTCAATAAAATATATAAAGTTTATTAATTAAAAGAACAATGTTTCTTATAATTTTTAAAATTATCCATCATCTCAAAAAACTATTATATATGAATTTTATCACACATGCATCTTTATTAACTTCATAACATATTTTAGTTGTTTTTCTTATTATATTACTTATTTTATTATATAATTTTCAGCAAACTGAACAAAGTAAAAGTTTAATTGAAGGATTACATGTGCCACATACAAGCATGCACTATCTAATGATGTATCATTTCTTAATTGATCTATTTGAGATTTTTATTTTTATTTTTATTAATTAACACAATTTTCATTATTATTTTATTTGATGACCATTAATTTTGTATAAAATGTTTATGTCATACAGACACTACACCTCCCCACGTGTCATGTGGCACATGTATATATTTATTATTATTTACTTTTTATAAAAACCTCCACTTTCTTACATTAAATAAATTTTATTTTTATTAAATTTTTAATAACCCTTCACTTTCTTGCATTAAATAACCATTATTGTTGAACCAAAAGAACATTATTGTTATCAAATTTTCAAAATAGTATTATAAATTTTTGTTATCACATTTAAATATTTATTAAGTAAAAAATTATTTGAAACATTTTATCCTATTACATACTAGAAAGTATATTATAGTATACGGTGTATATTTTTATAACAAACTAAACAAAATAAAGTTAGAGTTGAAAGATGATATGCGTTGTATGTCATACATGTATATTTTCTACGGGGCCATTCCACAGCCACTCCAATTGAGTGGCTTCCCAAGCCACTTTTAATCTTTACCCTCCATCTCCACTAATTTTAAATCATTTTTAAATCAAAGGCTCATATTCCGTTATCATTTAACTCTCAAAATTAAGTAGTACTCCTTCCGTCCCTGAGTGTTTGTCCACTTTCATTTTTGCACACCATCCAATGCATTTCTTTAATTCATTTTATCTTGTAATTTGTTTATTAAAAAATTATATATTAATAATCTATATGTTAAGACAAATCAAACAAGATTACACATGACTATTTTTAGGTTTACACATTGAGAGAATTTGATGAGTCAAAGTGCTTAGATGAACAGTCCAAAAGTCAAGAGTGGACAAAGGATAGGATGGAGTAATTTTCTTCCGTTCACTTCCGTCTCTTCGACACCACCCAACTACGATGAGGATGAGTGACCCGCGGCGATGCGCTCCCTGGTGGCGACGGATGAATTGCGCACATAGCCACGAGGTAAAAAAATTTACAGATCTGAATTTTTGCCAATTGTTTGCCAATTCTACAGATCTGAATTTCATTTCTAATTGCGCACAGGCGACGGATGAATTGCCAATTGTTTACTCAAATTTTGAATTTTGAGTAAAAATTTCGAGTTCTTACAATTTTTACTCAAATTGTTTGCCATTTTTTTACTCAAATTCTTTACGAACATGAGTTTTTTCAAATTTTACTCAATGTTTTTTAAAATTTATACTATTCTTTATATGAGTAAAAATTTGAATTTTTACTCATATTTTTTGCCAATTTTTTTAGTAATAATGTTTGCCAATTGTTTACTTTGACCTTGTTTGCCAAGAAGACAGTTCACTCATTTTACTCAGACCTTGTTTACTCATTTTACTTTTGTTGTTTACTCAAAAGTTTTGTTGTTTCTTGTTTCCACTTTCCAGTTTACTCAGACCTTATTTGCCCCTTTATCAAATCAATAAAGAAAACTTGGATTGAACTAAATTGTACTCCGTATTTGAGTTTTTACAATTTTAACTCACTGGATAGGTCTCATTCTTTGGTGTTAATTCTTAGGCATTTTTTTATTGGTTTTTGGTTACAGGTCGACGGAGTATGAGTACCGAGGTTAAACCGGCAGCGCATTCTGCAACCTGTTTAGTTGAAGTTCACTGATTGCCTTCAAGAAATCAAAGATGTTCGCGAGACAGAAACGTTGATGCAGGCAAATATGAAACACCGACGATTTGTTTTCTTGTTCGAAATTGGTGTTTTGTTTTGTGCACAATTTATGTCTTAAGCACTTGTTCGACTAGATGGTATGTAGTTATGTACTATATGGAGTGTAATAAGACTCTTATCGCCGTGTTTTTAAAAGTTATGCACTTGTTCGTCTCAAATTCTTTGGTCTCAAATTCATGAGTCTCAAATTCTTTTTTAAAAGATTACGTGGCGCTGATGGAGTGTAAATACAATAATCTTGAGAAAACCGGCTTTGCGACACACCCACCTATGGTTTTCATTCTCTCTGATCGTGCGTTTTCTAATATGAAATCCATTCGCAGAATTGTACGTGATGGGCCGATATCCAGTGGGCGGCCCAAATGAACCATTTACACAGCTTCGGGTCAAGCACCTGTGAAATACCCAAACTTGGGCCGGCCCGTGGAGCTGGGCCTAGTTAACCTCAGGCCAAGCGCAGCTGGCAGAGTCAATCCGGAGAAGGAGACGGAGCAGATTGGCCGTTACGGAGCCGAGAAAAGGGGATCGCGCCCTTGGCGGGATAGACTCCATCGATTATGCGTTACCTTAATGGTTTAGAGCTCATGTATAAATAGAGGAGACCCGAAAGGGGAAGAAACAAGCTAAATCAAGCTAATAATACATACCCAATTCTCGAATTCTCGTTCTTGATTTTGTTCTTACGATCCGCTTTGTGAGTCGGATCATTTGGTGGATTTATTGTCCATCAAATTGGTGCTCTCGTTGAGAGTTCGAGAATCATACTCAGAGGAAATCCTCCACAGAGACGATGGTGCAAACACGCAGTAACGCCAATATAGGTACCGGAGTTCCCCAGCAGGGGGAGAACAGTGCCACTGGAGGCCGGAATCCTCCCATCACCACGGGGGAGGCTGAGGCCCTCATTCAGAGGGTTGGGATCACAGCCGAACAATTCAAGGAGGTACTGGCTACACTTGCGCCCAACCGCAAGGTTGTGGTAGAAGATGTGGCTAGGGGACCCACAGGCGGGAAGGCTGGACCTGTGGACTCCCAAGGGAAAAAGAAGAAAGTGAGGCGGTCCCAGAAGAAGAAGGCGACCAAGCCTAATGGGAAGGCGGTGATGGTGGATGCGCTTTCCAGGCTGGACGAAGAGGACGAGTCGTCCTCCTTCGAGCGGATGTCTGCTTTTGACCGTTTGGGAGATCCCAAATCAAAGAAACTTCGGACCTCTGCGTTCGAACGGTTGCAAGACACTCGGTCGGCCCGAAAAGGCGACTTGAGGGACACGCTCAAGGAGAAAAGAGGGGAGTCCACAGCGACCTCCAAGATCGGTCCTGAGGAGCGACGGACGATGGTCGAGGACAAGGGCGCAGCCGAGCTGTGGAGAATGTACGAACAACTGGAGAAGCGGCTGGACGCCCAGAACCCCTACCGCCAGGCGGTCTTCAGTGAGGTAACGCCCTTCTCCAGGAGGATAATGTCTTGTCCTCTCCTGGATAATTTCAAAACTCCCCAAATCAAGGCATACAACGGGACGACTGATCCCCAGGACCACCTCGCTCGCTTCGGGGCAAATGTGGTCATGTATGCGTACCCAGAAGAAATCAAGTGTCGATGTTTCCTGGCGACACTGGAAGGGCAGGCTTGTGAGTAGTTTCACAAGTTACCCAAATACTGCGAGTACCACCGTAACAGCACCCATAACACGTCGGAGTGCGTTACGTTGAAGAAGGAGATGGATCAGCTGATCGCTAGAGGGCCGCCTCCTCGGTCGGAGCGACCGTCCTCAAGTAACCGGACCTGGAGGAGGCCGCCGGCCCCCACGGCAGCGATCACAGCAGGAGAACGACAAGAAGATGGACGGCGGCATCTAGGGCGAGAATGTGACGTTCTAGATGAGGAGGAAAGGCAAGGTCGTCGACACCTGGGGTGTCGGTTCATCATGGGAGGAAACACCGGAGGAGATTCGGTGTCCTCCCGGAAGAAGTGGAAGAACATGGTGTACCTGGCCGAGGTACAAAGGCCGCCGCTGCCTAAGCGGAAGAAGAAGGAACCTCTGATCTTTACAGACGAGGATTATCCCCCAGTCCTCAGCCCTCACAGGGACGCTCTGGTGATAAAGGTAGAGATCAATAATGTGGTTGTTCACCGAACTTTGGTCGATACGGGCAGCTCGGTCAACGTTATGTACAGCAACACCTTTAAGGAGCTGGGGTTGTCCCGAAGCGACCTGAAACCAATCCATACGCCGCTATCAGGGTTTACAGGGGATACTATCGAGGCTGAAGGAACTATCACGGTAAAGGCCGGGGTAGGAGATGGCACCCACCGACTCTGGGTCGACGTGGAATTTATGGTAGTGCAGCTCGACTGTGCACACCATCTGATTCTGGGACGACCAGGGTTGGAGGACCTGGAGTGCGTAATCTCCCCCGTCCACTTGTGCCTAAAGTTCAACACTCCCACATGGGTGGGGATAGCAAAGGGAAACAAAAGCCTGTCACGGTCGTGCTACGTTAGGGCGACCAAGAGCCAAGCCCGGGTCGACGAGAATGTGAGTACGATCTGCGCCGCAATCCAGAAGGAGGGGCGACCACGAGCTGAACCGGCGGAGGAGGTCGAAGAAGTTTCTTTGGACCCGGTCGAACCAGAGCGGAAGGTGAAGGTAGGTAAAACCTTACCGCTTGAATTAAAGGAGCAGTTATTGGAGGTCCTCTGAGCATTCAAGGTCCTATTCGCTTGGGGACCAGAGGATATGCCAGGGGTCGACCCAAAAATCATCTGCCATAGATTGGCAGTGGATCCGACCCACAAGCCGGTCAAACAGAAGAAGCGTTTCCTTTCCTCAGAACGGAGAGAGTTTGTCACCAAGCAGGTGACCACCCTACAATCCATTGGGCACATCCGGGAAGTCCGCTACCCGAAATGGTTGGCAAATGTAGTCCTCGCACCCAAAGGGAATACCTGGCGGATGTGCGTCGATTACACTGATCTAAATAAAGCCTGCCCGATGGATCCTTTTCCTCTCCCCAACATTGACCAGTTGGTTGATGAGACAGCAGGGTGTGAGCTGATGAGTTTTATGGACGCATTCAGTGGATACCATCAGATCAAGATGGCTGTGGCGGATGAAGAAAAGACCGCTTTCATCACCCCCAGTGGGGTATACTATTACAAGGTGATGCCTTTTGGGTTGAAGAATGCTGGGGCGACTTATGCACGGATGGTGAACAAGTTGTTCGCGCCAGTGCTCGGGGGATGCATGGAAGCGTACGTGGACGACATGATCGTCAAGTCCAAACGGATGGAGTCCCATGCCGGCGACCTGGAGAGAGTGTTCAAGATCATGAAGAAGTTCCAGCTTCGCCTTAACCCTAAGAAATGTACATTTGGGGTTCAGGAGGGCAAGTTCCTGGGACACATGGTCAGCCGGAGAGGAATTGAGCCTAATCCGGAGAAAGTAAAAGCAATCTTAGAGATGGAACCTCCGAGGAATGTGAAGGAGGTCCAGCAGCTGACCGGCAGGATTGCTGCTCTCAGTCGCTTCTTGTGAAAGATAGCTGATCGAGCGGCTCCTTTCTTTCAGACCATTAAGAAGAGCAGAGGGTTTGTCTGGACCGAAGAATGTCAACGGTCCTTTGAAGGGTTGAAAGCTTACCTCCTCTCCCCACTGGTACTTTCGAAGCCAGAGCCCGGAGAGATCCTATTTCTGTACTTAGGAATCTCTCCTCGAGCTGTGAGCTCGGTGCTTGTGAGGGAGGAGGAGGGCGTACAGCGACCTGTGTACTATGTGGCCCGGGTGTTGCGAGGGGCGGAGCTAAGGTACACAAATATGGAGAAAACCATCTTTGCGGTGGTATGTACGGTGAAAAAGATCACCCCATATTTTCAAGCCCACCCGGTCCATGTATTATCAAAAATTCCCATCGGAACACTTCTTCGAAGTCCAAATGCCCCATCACGGGTAAGCAAGTGGGGAGTGTTCCTGGGATCTTTTCAGATAGAGTTTAAGCCACGACCGGCGATAAAGGGGCAGGCGTTGGCAGATTTCGTGGTAGAGTGCACAGCAAGAGAGGTGGAGTCTAGTGGAAAAGAACCCGAAGGGAGCTGGTGGACGGTGTACACTGATGGTTCGTCCGCGACTGATGCTTCCGGAGGAGGCGTCGTGGCGATATCACCGGAAGGGTTCAAAGCATACTACTCCGTTAGATTCCGGTTTAAAGTCTCAAACAATGAGGCTGAATACGAGGCTCTGCTTTGCGGTTTGAGGCTAGCAGCTTCATTAAAAGCTGAACGAGTTCGAGTCCGGTGCGATTCCAAGCTAATAGTAGGTCATGTCACTGGAGAGTTTGAGGCCAAGGATGAGCGAATGAAGAAGTATAGAGACATCGCCCTGGAATTGCTCAAAGCGTTTGGAGCGTACCGGATAAAGCAGGTACCTCGAGAAGAGAATGCTGAGGCGGACATCTTGTCAAAGCTGGGCCTAGATTCCCCAGATCATATCAAGGCAATGGCCCAAGGAGAAGAATTGCTCGAACCAAGCATCAGTCTCGGACAAGTATTGGTCATCACACTCAAGGAGCCAGCGGATTGGATTGATGAGATTACCATGTACCTCCTTGATGGGTCGCTACCTACCGACCCAGTCACGGCGAAAGTGGTAAAACGGCGTGCACCCAGTTACACGCTGGAGTGCGGTCGATTATACAAGCGGTCGTACAATGGTACATTGCTAAGGTGCTTAAGAGCGGGCGAAGCACAGAAGTTAATGGAGGAAATCCATGAAGGAATATGCTCAGCACATCAGGCAGCCTTCACGATGTCCAGGAAAGTAACCCTACAAGGATACTTCTGGCCAACGATTATTAGAGATTGCGCAGAGTACGTGCGCAAATGCAAGGTTTGCCAGGAATTCCAAAGGATGCCGGGGTGACTGGCGACGAATTACACCCCGATCAGTACGGCGATTCCCTTTGCTCGGTGGGGCGTCGATCTGGTTGGCATCTTGCCTCGGGGGACAGGGAACAACACATACCTGGTGGTCGCGATCGACTACTTTACTAAGTGGGTTGAGGCCGCTCACGTGCCGACCATTACTGCAGAACAGATGACGAAGTTCGTTTCCAAGCAAATCTTGTGCCGATTTGGGGTGCCCCAGCAGATCATCACCGACAATGGAACCCAATTCGAGGCCAGAGGGTTCAATGAGTTTCTACAGAGCTGGGGCATAAAGCACAGCTATGCAGCGGTCGGGTACCCTCAAACCAATGGGCAGGTCGAGAACACTAATCGCACTATCGTGGACGGTCTCAAGAAGAAGATAATGGAATGCAAAAGTGCCTGGGTGGAGGAATTTCCCTACATTTTGTGGGCCTACAGAACTACCCTAAGGAAGGCCACAGGTGAAACTCCTTTCTCGCTCACATATGGATTTGAAGCAAGGGCTCCAGCGGAAACCTCTTTGTTGAGTTATAGAGTGGAGACGTTTGATGCTCAAGAAAACGAAGAGAACTTGAGGGCAGAACTGCACCTCATTGATGAGCGTAGGGAAAGGGCATACATGCGGGCAGAAAACTACCGCCGGCAGGTCAAGTCATATCACGACCAACGGGTGCGACCAAGGCAGTTCAAGATGGGCGACTGGGTCCTTCGAAAGAGGGAGCTCAGCCGGCCGACCGACGGGGGAAAGTTTGCTAAAAGCTTCGAAGGGCCATATATCATAAAGGAGGTGTTGGCTGATGGGACGTTTAGGTTGCAGACTCCAGCCGGTGGCGACGTTCCGCGAGCATGGAATGCCGCCAACCTTATAAAATTTTATCAATAGATTGTATTCCAGCCATGTCTCTTTCTTGAAGTTTAATAAAACCAGCTTTCTGGCACATCTTGTCTTCAATTCTCAAAAAAAAAAGAAAAAGAAAAGAGCGACCACAAGAGGTCGCTAAGCTTAAGCTCGCTAAGCCTAAACGGTATGGTGATTCGTGCTAAAGTACCCAATAGAAGATGAGGCGTCGAACCCTGACAAGCGACCAAGGTTGGGGGCTGTCAGGCGACGCGACTAATCAGAGGACGACGCCGTGGCAAGAAAGCCCGAGAAAACGGCTAAGTCTGGAACATAAGATCTGCTGATCGCATGAGCGACCAGGGGTCAATGGCGACGCAGATATGGCTAAGTGAAATGAGGCGAGGTATTCTCTGATCAAGGTCTGAGGAAACCTGAACGTTTAAATTGAGATGCGGAAGAGAAGAAGATGAAACTTGTAAGTAAACAGGTGAAATCAAAATACATTCATGAAAATGTTCATTACATTTCAAGGATAATCTCTTGCATCTGCAACAATACAGTTGGGAACAATCTCTACGTAAGGAGGGATACTTTCCTATACATCTCTTACAATGAAAAACAACAATCTAAGACTTTGCGAGCAGAGGTCTAGGGGGGACAGGCAGGTTTGAAGGGTAGTTCTGCAGCTGTATAAGCAGGTAGAACTCCGATCACCGGCCGTTCAGGACGACCACCTTTCTTCCCCATCATGGAACGGGAATGGTCGCCCCCGGCCTCGGCAAAAACCCATCGCCCTTCTCCTACCAAGGAAGGACGGGGAACGGCTCACTTCTCCCTGAACCCCAACCAGCATCACCTAGATGAGGATGGAGATCCTGAAGCCGCATCACCTAGATGAGGATGGAGATCCTGAAGCCGCTCGGGCTACTCCAGGTCGCCTACGGGTTTTCCGGGGAGTTGAGTGGCTGGTGGGACGAGGTGGGTTGGAACCTAGTTCTCCCCCCAACACAACCTCCTCCTTAGGCCTCACCGGCGAATTGGTGCGACTTTCGCTAGTCCATCGTTCAAGACTTGCGTAGTATGCGCACTCATGCTCCAGGAGGGGTAAGTGCTCATCATGAAAGCTCTCCCAGGCCATGCATTGCAGGGAATGGAGGGGGCATGGGGCATCCCAATCAATCCGCCCGTCAGGCAGGCGATTGGCGGAGAGGGCCTTGTACACCTCACTAAAGTCTTCATAAGGGTTTGGTGGTAGTGGCGGCGGTTTTACCGACGGCCACTGCCGGCGAGGCAACCGGCGGCAGAATTCGTAAGTGTCTGACCCCCCAGTCATTGGAATTGACTGACTTGGGGGAGGAGGCAGGCTCCGGCGAAGAAGGAGCCGGCCCGTCGGAAAGATTCAGAGAAACAGGAATTCCTTCAAACATGGCAATGATGAAGAAAGGGGAAATATTTGGTGATGGAACAAAATGAAGGTTAGGGGGGCTTATAAATAAGCCCGGCGAAGGAACCGAAGAGACGGTCAAGTCTCAAGGCAGCTGAACCGATAAAGCAGCTTTGAGCCGCGCGAAGGTCCAATCAGAGACTGTGAAGGGCATTGGGTCAGTTGGGCGGCACGCTGGCCAGTCCAGAGATTGGGCCTGGACGGGTAGACGGGCCGGGACTAGGAGTTGGGCCCAAACTAAAACATACATGCGAATCAGCTAAACTAGAGAAGAGAGTGCTGAAGCAAAACGCCAAATAAAAAAAGAAAGCACGTGGTGAATCCAGAAAAATCGAACAACATAGGAGCATTATATCAAAACGACAAATCATACTGAAAAAAAAAGCAAGTGTTTATAAAGCTGTGGGGGAACAACAGGGGAGTTTAGACGGTCGAGCCAGAATGTCCACCCGCTTTGGACGTGGCTAAGCTGGCTCCTGGATTCTGGTCGCCCTGTCCACCTTCCTCCTCTTCTTCTTCCTCTTCTTCAGACGCGCTTGACCTCCCTCCGTCCAAGTAAGGGCTGGGGTCGAACTCGGCCAAGGAACGGCAAGGAGGGGGAAAGCCGAGGTCGGGGAGAGAGAATCCTTTGGGGAGATGGGCCAGTCTGTCGCGGAAGACTTGTTGGGCGCGGAAGAGTCCACAATTGAAGGACTTGGTCCCCTCCTTGACCATCCATTGAGCCCCAGGTTCAGTTTTGAGCCAAGCGGCTGTTAGTTCTTCCATTCGCTCCATCACGACCATCGTGAAGTCAGGAGAAGACTTGAAGGATTCTACCACTTCCTCCGCATGGCGGGCCTGGTCGCTCCTCTCCACTTCCAACTGCTGGATCAGGTCAGATTTTCCCCCCTCCAGCTCGACCACGCGAGCGGAAACAGATTCTACCTCCAAGGACAAGGAGGCTTTGTCTGCCTCAAGGGTGACGCAGCGGTTCTCCTTGGAAGTTTTCTCTGCAGCAAGCGCCGCGCAACGATCTTCCTTCTCCCCCAGCTCTCTTGTGAGTCGGGCGACCTCCTCCTGCAATTCCTTCTGCTTGGCCTCCGATGTCTTCAACGCCTCGCCCAAGGCAGCCTGGTGACCCCGTCTCCTACCGACCACCTCGATCATCCCCAGCGTGGCCTGCACCAAGGCATGGGGGTTAAGAACGTAAAAAAAAGGAGTGCAGATAGAATCAGCGCAAGTACCTGGCTTAGCCTCAAGAGGACCATGTTATCAAGGTCGTCCTCAGAACCGGCCGAGATGCGAGCTTGGTCCTCCGCGGGCAAGGTGATCAGGGTCTCCAGTTGCACGTCCCCTAAGCTTTGGGGCAGAGGAGGAATGCAAAGCCTCGTCGAGCGACCCCCGGTCGCCACCTCGTAGGTCACCGCGGGAGGCGAAGGAGGTCGCTCCGAGGACCCAGCGAGGTCGCCACCTGGCCTCACAGAGTGGGGAGGGGAATGACGGGTCACCGCACCCGTTTCCAGGGTAGCATCATCCTGGTCCTCCACTACAATTACAGCCGGCTCTCGGGAGGGACTCTCCTCATGGTGGGACGAAGAGCGTTTGCCCTGGCCCTTCGCCTCTCTCTTCCTCTTCCTCCCTGCAGTGAAGCAACTGAGCAGGAGATCGTCGTCCATCTCTTCTCCTAAATCTTGTAATTCCACTGGAAACAAAGGAAATGGTCAGCCTTGGAAAAAGATAAACTAAACATCTGGGCAAAAGAAAAGGTCAATTACCAAAAGGACCACAGTCAAGACCTTCCTCAGGAATGTCCTTCAGCTGGACAGGCTGATGCCCCCCGGGGATGTCCCTCAGTAGGTCGGGTTGGTGGCGAAGCTCATCCTGAACAAACTCAAACCCCAACCCGGCAAGGGTTTCCTCTGTCACCACCTCTTTAATGTTCATAACTCCCTTATTGCAGAGTTGGCGAGTGATGGACAAAAGGGTGGCATCAGATGGGGGGCATGGGATGCGGCGGAAGGAAGGGCGCCCTGAACCCGTGAAAGGAGATTCGGGCCCCGTCGAGACGAAAACGAAGAAGGGTTTCCAGTCTTTGGTCGACCCCTTCTTGTCACTAGCAAAGAGCTTACTAGACCTCTGGGAAAGGCTGGCATAGGACGCCCAATCCTTATGGCCCTTGGTCAGCTTAAAAGTGAATAGGAAATGGTCCAAAGTTGGTTTCACCCCTACAACCTTGCACCGGACCAAATAACCGGCGATGTACCGGTGAGAGTTGGGGACCAACTGACACGGAAGAAGGTCCACCACGTTGAGGAATTCGATCAAAAGCGGGTGGAGTGGGAAGCGCAGCCCCTTCTTCAAAGACGCCAGATGGACCGTGAAGAACCCTGAAGGGGCGTCCAGGGCGGTTTGGGTGCTGGTAGGTCTCATGACTTCAATGGAAGGTCCGACCATGTCAATAGCATCGGCGAATCCCCGGTCAGTAATCTGGCAATGGCACAGCGCCATGATGTTTTCGTCCAATCCAACCCTCGAGCCCTCATCTACCGAGGTTGAGGAAGGGAATTGCTTCCTCAATCGACGCCGTTTATGGCCAGACACGGCCGACGGTGACGGTTGGGGTGATTGAGTGTGGCCGGGGTTACGGCCAGAGGCCGATTGATCGGCTTGGCGAGAATTGGACGATGGGGGTAGCCGAATCGGAATCTGAAACAATCATGGCGGCGAGAAAAGGAACTGACCTGGAAAGGAAGAAGAACGGGTCGGATAGTAGCGAAATTGCAGACGAATGATGGTGAAGAAAGCGGAAGAAAGAGATGGCGTCCAGCGGCGGTTTTTAACTGACAATAGGAGGGCGAATCGGCAGGCCATGATTGCCTATTTGTGGAGATCGTGCCCAGATGTCACGCGGAATCCAAGGAACGGCCCGGATCCCCGCTGGAGCGCCCACGTGGACTTTGCAAACTCCCCATTCCTCCACTTGACCCAGTTGAGGACTGAGGAGTTGGGGGGCTTATGATGGGCCGATATCCAGTGGGCGGCCCAAATGAACCATTTACACAGCTTCGGGTTAAGCACCTGTGAAATACCCAAACTTGGGCCGGCCCGTGGAGCTGGGCCTAGTTAACCTCAGGCCAAGCGCAGCTGGCAGAGTCAATCCGGAGAAGGAGATGGAGCAGATTGGCCGTTACGGAGCCGGGAAAAGGGGATCGCGCCCTTGGCGGGATAGACTCCATCGATTATGCGTTACCTTAATGGTTTAGAGCTCATGTATAAATAGAGGAGACCCGAAAGGGGAAGAAACAAGCTAAATCAAGCTAATAATACATACCCAATTCTCGAATTCTCGTTCTTGATTTTGTTCTTACGATCCGCTTTGTGAGTCGGATCATTTGGTGGATTTATTGTCCATCAGTACGCTTGGTAGAATTTCTCAAATTCTTCAATTGTGTCAAAACGCATTTCAACTACAGGATCAATTCCAACATATTTATCATTGATTACTTTTGTCGGTGTTGTACACGACGTAGCCTTGTTGCCATAAAGTGTACTTTTTAGACTCATATTCTGCTCCATTTCAAGATTTTATGATTGCACCTGTGATTAAGGAATTTAGTTGTGATTAAGGAGTTCACTTTTAAAAGTGAACTAAATTAAATTATCAAAGCACAAAACAAAAAAAAAGTTAAAAAAATCAGTTTTTATTCTATGGGAAAACTGTGGCCCAAACAAAAAGGTCAAAAAAATTTATAAAAAAATCAAAAAGATTTTTTAAAAAAAAAAACAAAAAGATTTATCAAATTTAAAGCAATTGAAATTAAGGCAATTGAATTTATCCTAGGGTTGGCGTGATTGAAATTAGAGCAAAAGGATGAAGAGATTTTGAATTTGAAGGTTCGGCAAATTTAAAGTAAAAGGAAGTAGATTTGTAGTTTGTACTGGGTCGGCTTCGCACGGACGAAAAGCTGGGAGAGAGACGGGAGTGAACTGAAGAACTCCATAGTTTTGAGGGTTAAATGATGAAGAAATCTGAGCCTTTGATTTAAAATTAGTGGAGATGGAGGGTAGAGATTAAAAGTGGCTTGGGAAGCCACTCAATTGGAGTGGCTGTGGAACGGCTCCGTATTTTCTAACTATGTGTCATTACTTAATTGATTCATTTAATTTTTTAAAAAAAATTTTTTAATTGAAAATTATTTCATTATTGTTTTATTCAATGAGCATTTATTTGTATAAAAGTTTTCTAGTTCAAATGTGCACACCATGCCACATGTGATGCCATAAGTGCGTATTTATTTTTATTAAATTTTTATAAACCCCTTCCACTTTCTAGAATTAAATAACCTTAGTTTCTATTAAAATTTTACAACCCTTCACTTTCTAACACTAAATAACCATTATTGTTATTAGTTATTTATGGACACTTCACTTTTGAAAATTTTATAAAATATCTATTTAATTATAATAACATGTTTTTTTCAAAATGCACAATTATTATAACATAAGAATATATAAACTTCATTAACTAAAAAAAACATTGTGTATGATTTTTAAAACTATTCACTAATTATTTTATTTTAATTTTTCTCAATAGAACTATTACATTGATATAAATTTTATGATATATGCATTTTTATTTAATTCAAAATTAATTTCATACAATAATTATTTTATTATATATTTTTCAACAAACTAAGGAAAGAAAACTTTGTTTAAATGAAGGATGACATGTGACATATGCCGCATGGACTTTCTAATGGCATGTCATTATGTAATTGATTCATTTGACATTTCTTTTTTTTAATAAAAACCATTTTCATGAACACTTCAATCAATGGCCATTAATTTTGTATAAATTTTTCACGCTAGCTTTGCACACCATGTCACATGTCTTGCCAGGTGTGCATACTTATTTTTACATTAAATAAGTATTAATTTTATTCATATGTTAAAAACCTTCACTTTCGAACATTAAATACATTATAATTATTAAGTGGTTATAAAATCATTTACTTTTTCAAATACTAGTACTTTGACCCGTGCCACGCATGGGTCGAACAGAATTTTTGTATCGATTTTATAATTTTTAATTTCTTTGATATATTAAAAATAGAAAAAATAAAAAATGACTTTAAGAGTTAAAATGATGATAAAATATATAATATTTTCTAAAAGAATTCTTATATATATATATATATATATATATATATATATATATATATATATGAAAATTAACATGTCAAAGTCTTATTTAAATTAGAAGATTTTGAATAATTTTGAGGTATACATCTTTGTACGGAGTATAATGTTATAAACATTACCAAAGTAGTCTAAAGCTAATTCTTTCAAAATGAATACCGATTTGGTAAAAACTAATCTTATAAATTACAATGTCTGATCCTATCTTTTATTCATAATTATAAGGAACATAAACTATTGCAAATTGTATTCTTTAAAACTTCAAAGATAATCCTAAATGAAATAATGCATAATTCAATTAGGTTGTGTAAACTTTCTCTAAGAATTTGTTTTCTAATACCGTACTATAGTTGCACAAAAGATGATTTTTTGCAACTCTTCAACGATTATTTAACCTTATTTTTGTTCAACAATATTAGCCTTGTTCAATTTTTCTCAATCACATAATGAGTACAATTTTCTTCATATTAAAATTATTTTGTGGTTTAAAATTCTCAAAGTTTATTTTTATTCATACACTCAATTTTTATACAATCATCATTAATGAGCAAAAATGTGATTTCCCCACACATTAGTTTAAACATTGGACTTCTTTTGACATAAAAAATTATTATCATATTATGATAACAATGGCTACGGTACTACGTTCAAAAAAATGATAATTCCTACTCCTAACCCCCCAACCCCACTCGAGCCTCTTCCCTGCCTTTTTCCCCAAAGTACTGATTGGCTACAATGTTACAATAGCCAATTGGTGTTTTGAAGAAAGGGGGTAGGAAGGCTATTGGGGTAAGACAGGGGGATTAAAAGTAGGAATTATCAAATTTTCAAACATAGTAATGTAGCCATCATTGTCATAATATGACAATAATTTTTATTGTCAAAAGAAGGGAGTCGTAGTTTAAATTAGCGAACATAGTGATTAATCTCCCCGTATTAATATGATTCTATTTTGCATTGATTTTAAAAAATATGATTTTTCATTTCCTATATTTGAAAAAAATAATAATGACCATTTGATTGTTCTTCTCTGCATTAATTAAAAAAATTAGATTACCGACCTTATGATTCAAAGAATATGATTCTTTTTATCCCACATTGCCGCATTAATTTTGACTTCTAAAATAAAATTTTTATTTTTACTAATACATTTATTCATAATTATTCTAAAAAAATATATAATTTATATATAAGTAAAAAGTTTTGAGTGGATTAGTGCCATAAAATTTACATATTTCACCATAATCATTCAAAACCTATTACAATATGCTCAATAATTTGTTTGGAGCATTGGTTCACCACAATCTACTCAAAACTAATCAACCGTAACATGGTAAACAACTTCCTTATTTCCGTCGCTCTTAATTGCAAACATATAGCAGCATATCGTTTAGGCAAAACTAACGCTTCTCATTCTTCCTACGATTCGCCCATGCTCCGAGTGATATCCACACAGAAAAAACCTGTATAAATAAATCCAAATATGAAATTTAATGTTTGAAGTAAAGAATATTCAATGTGAACATCTCAAACCTTAAATGTTGCATTTTACTTGAGTTAGTGTGATTACCCCAACACAACTAATTGACATGGAACGATATTTCTATGTTTAAAATTGGTGCTTTGTAATTAAACAAAACAATCCCACATAGTGTGGCCAAATGTGTGGGAGAAAGGAAGTGAGTAGGGAGTGTAATGTTATGATGTAGTGACATAAATTAAACAAAGAACATACCAAGAAACCCTTGGTTGTTTTGAAACTTTGCCTATACACTCTTATTCTGATCCATTAGTTTCACACAAAATAGATAGCAATGACCAATAAGATTGCCAATCAAGGTGGCCCGAATCATCATCCTAAAACAATTTATTAGTGGATAAGACACTTTGTCACCACAATAGGCATATAAGGTCTGTGAACAATTTAATAAGCTTTTATGGATATATGTATTGATACTACCTCCAATTTTGCTATGACTTGATACACACTCATGGCAGATTGTCCAATAATCTTTTCAACCTCATAAAAGTCTTTGATGTCGTGAAAGTACTTCGTGGAATTTTTTCCCTATAAAAACCATCCAAACTACCATTAATCTATGTAAGAAAATAGTTGTCGTGAAACTTAAAAAGTAAGGCTCCGTTTTGTTCAACTTATTTTTTCTGATCTGATCTGATTCTAATAAGTTCTGATCTGATCTGGTCTGATCTGATCTGATTGGATCGGATCTAATCTGATCTGATTGGATCTGATCTGATCTGATTGGATCTGATCTGATCTGATTGGATCTGATCTGATCTGATCTGATTGGATCTGATCTGGATTAATTATGATTTAATTTAAAATTTTAAATCAATAATTTAATTTGACTTTATAATAACGTTTGAAAATTGTAATGATAATTCATATTATAATATAATTAAAATTTTTTATTTAATGATTATTTTTTAATAAAATAAAAATAGTCAATTCATATATTAGAATAATCATTCATATTATAATGTAATAATATTTTTATTTTATGATTTTTTTTTGTAAAATTAGAATTATACATTAGAATAAATATTTAATTTAGATATACATTAAAAAATAATTAAATTTTGATAATCAATATATAGAAGAGATAATATTTTTATTAAAATATCTCATCCTTATAAAAGATCAAAAGTTTAGAAACTCAAATTACAAGTAGCAATAAAAATATATTTTAAAAGTAGAATTAGATTGACAATGTAATAATAATGATGATGATGATGATGACGACGATGATGATGATGATAATAATAATGATAATGATAATAATAATAATAATAATAATAATAATAATAATTCTTGATGAGATCTTATTTTAATAAGTCCTGATCTGATCTGATCTGATTGGATCTGATCTGATCTGATTGGATCTGATCTGATCTGATTGGATCTGATCTGATTTGATTGGATCTGATCTGATTGGATCTGATCTGATCTGATTGGATCTGATTTGATCTGATTCGATCTGATCTGATCTGATCTGATTCGATCTGATCTGATCTGATCTGGTCTGGTCTGATCTGATCTGATTTTAATAAGAATAAGAAAAAATAAGAAAAAATAAGTTGAACGGAACGGGGCCTAAGTAGTCACGGAAGTAGTTTGTGGGTTTACCCCCTATAAAATATTCTTTCCAGACACACGAAATTATGTTATTACAATATGTAATCTAATCTATAATTTATTACTGCATGTAATCAAATACAATTGAATTAAATGAACATTATACAAATTAAACCTAGATATATGCCTATTTATTTATGTAGCAAAGAATGAGCATTGCTCGTTATTGAGGTAGATAAATCATTTTTAAATGTATGTACATGGCTAGGCAGTAGGCACTTGCTCTAATACCTCCACACATTACTAATAAGAATTCAAGTCTGACTTAAAATCAAATACCACAAAAGATCTATATTCAGAATGTAACTTACCTCGGAGCATCATTGTTCATCACCTTCTCACAAGGATTGCACCAGAGTTTCCCTCGCTACCCTCTATTACCCTTTTGTAGTGCCCACGTGAACTATAGTACCTTCTATTGTTATCAGTAATGTTATAAATCATGTAAAAAAGAGTTGCACCCAGTCAAAGTTCTGAAAGGAAATCATAGAAATGTCATTAAAACAAACCACAAATAAAAATGTCAATAAAATATTGTAACTATTAAAGGTCTAGATAATTACATCTTCCCAGTCAGAGCCAATAATACTCAAAATATCTTTAATAGTTTTCAATCATGAATCATGATAAAATCGTATCTGTCGATAATTTATCTTTCAATCATAAAGGGGATCATTATATACTTTGTGGCTGAAATGCATAAAGCTATAGCATAACTTTGTTGTCTCCAACAATACAATACCATGTTGTTGGAGACAACACGCTAGATAGGGTGTAGAAATAGCAAACCACCTATAATAAAATCAAACAATAAAAATTACCTCTGTTGGTTTTTCCTTTTTCCCGCCAAATTCTTACAAATCTCGAAATTTTAATACGTCTAGGTTGAAGTATCACAACTCCATTAGTTCCTGCTCACAGAACAGCACATTATGATAAACTAAACTTTTCAAAGAAAATTGTTAAAAGTGTAGACTCCAACATAGTTTAATACCTTATCTCTAGAGTCCATGTGGAGTTTAATTGAACAAAAAAAGCCTACAATTAGAAAGAAAAAAATACAATAGGACATTCATTCATAAAGGTTGGTTTTCATATAAATTCTTAATTAAAGATCTTACAAACAGGAAAGTGTGAATTGTAAGAAGAAAAAGAAAATCAGAAGACGATTACTTGAACATGCTAATTGTAAGCAACATAGGGCTGCTCCAAATAGTGTAGAAGCAGAACATATGTTGAATTTCAATGTGCCAACAGATCCAAAGATTCTGGAGAAAAGAGTACTTCTGGCGCTAAGAAGGCAACGACGGTTCAACTCAAATTGAGTATTATTCTTACTAACCCAAGCTAGGAAGCATACAGAGCACTTCTTGGATGAACATCGGCGAGCTGCTATTTTTAACCCTAGCTGAGAAGCAAACAACACACATTAAAAAATTAAAACTAAAATCATCAAACTCAAATCAGTGTAGAGCTTTCTACCATTCAACTCAAATTGAGTTATCATTCAATTCAAATCAAAATAAAATTGAGTTATTCACCCCAAGTGAAACTAAACTCAAATTGAATTGTTCAATCATCCAAAATTGAATTGAGTTTTGTAAATAGCAAAATGTTCGATTTAAGTGAATGTGCAGACCTTCAACCATTCGACTTTCGTCCTTGGCTAGAATAAACACGAAGAGTAATTGAATAGCCTCGAAAATAGCAATAGTATAACAGAATAGACTTTGCTAGAATGAACTCTAAGGGGGAAGAACCTGCAACAGAAAGCCAGGGACGCCTATGAAAATAGCAATAGTCTGGCATATGTCACAGCTGTTCTTTTTTAACTTGGGAAACGTGAGTATTCATATGAATGACATGATGTAGATCCATTCTGACTTTTCTCCAACACAACTTGCCACTTTGGGACCAACACCGGAAACTCTTACTATACCAAAACAGAATTTATAAGCTTCATTACATAGATCAAACATAATTTGATAAAAATTCATACTTTAATGTCAGAGTAATTTTTATACAGAAAAAAAGGAGTTTAAAAACAGATAGTGTTATATGAGTACATGAAATCACCAATAAGTTCATAAGTGGATTACAAAGTATTTTATAATAATAAGAAAAGGAAGAAAATAGCAAACATTCACAGTTTAAAGCTGCACGTTACTCCTTTATCAATTTGGTTACTTTTAACCCGGCCAAATTTGCACCAACCATTTAACCTTAAGTGTCAGTTGTACAGACAATGCAGACAGTGCAAAAAAACATTAGACTCATTTAACCTCGAGGTTCAATTGAACAGAGAGTGCAGATTATAAATGGGCTGCAAAAAATGCTGATTTGGAATGAGACAAACCCCCAAGGTTGATTTAAACACAGACATTTGCACATGAATTAAAATCTGCACTCATGGATATTGTTTCCATTAACTTGAGCCATAAGCATCCAAGTCTCCATTCGTGATATTGTAATGGGCTGTTTGTTGTTGGATATATGCCATACACTATATACATTTCAAAATGCTTCATAATGGCGATGAAGTGTTGGTGTGTGTCTAGACTTTTAGACTAATAGACTTTTACTTCTAGAGATGACGCATCAAAGCTATCAGATTAATAGCTAAATAAGGAAAATGAAATCAAACACTTCTTTTTAATTGTGGCCTAGATTAAATAGTCATTTTTCTTTAGCCCATCAGACCCCAAAGCTAAAAAAGAGTAAATCTTTCACCACACATGTTTTCAAATACAAAAAATAGATACCAACACATGTTTTTGCCCTTATTTTTTAGACTAAACCAACACATCAATTACTCATTCATGGTTGAATCCATGTGCACATCAAGATGATGAAAATAAGATCTATTATCATAAAATCAGGGCAAAAGGTTAACTTCAAATATTAAATATAGTTGTAAACATGATACAATTAAAAATTAAGATTGGGGCACAACCACGGCTGAATTAGCACATATATAAACATGGAGGCATAGTAGGAATCAGCCATTAATTAAATAGCGATAAACAGAATTAATGATGAAGGTATAAACATGGAAAAATCTACACAGATATATGCACACATACTCACATAGTGGCATAGATGAGGGCATAAACATGAAAAGATCTGTTCACATTAATTTAAGAGATCATGTTAAGACCTAAAATACGCTGGCTCAAAGAAGTGAATTGGGTTAAGGGCATTGGACAAATTAAGTAGTTAGATATCAACGAATTTAGTGGCGATTCATAATCGATGAATTTACCAAAAAAATTGGGGAACTTGAGAGCCCAGAATCTGAATACACGAAGATACGAATTGAATAACAATTGCATATGAATTTTGAAAATAAACCTGATTCTTTAATCGTTTAAAATTTCAGATCGCAACCCACCAATTTGCGAAAAAAAGAATTTTCCGGAATAAATTAGGGTAAAATTGCAGTACCTCGATTTCTTTCCTTCCGTGTAAATCAAGGCAGCGAGGAATCAGGGCCGAATCAAATTAGTTTCCTAGCGTGAATTGAAGATCCAACTTTTTTTTACTTTCCTTCCGCGAAGAACGCGAAGAAGAAGGTCGAGGGGAAGAAAGGAGGAGCTTCCGCTAATAACTGGAGGCGTGTCATCCTAGGTGTAAGCAAATCAGGAGCCTTCCACGTGTCATCATTCTAGGCTATCAACTCTCAAATATTATATTAAAGGATTCATTATGTTTATTATTATCTATAAAACTCATCGCTTTTTAACTATTAGAAATACATATATTTCATTATTATAACATATTTTTAAATATGCATAATTATATGATTATTCAAAGAAAAGTATAATAACTTTATTAGTTAAAAAACTAACATTTTATATATTTTTGAAAAGAATCCACCATTTATTTTATTTTGTTATTTCTAATAAATAACTATATTTTATTAAGTTTATATTGATTAACTATATATTTTACTTCAAAATGTTTTTTCGCAACATTATTCAATTTTTATATAATATTTCAACAAATTAAATTCAATAAACTAAATTTGTTTTTGTTGTAGGATAATACATAGCATATAGGTCATATGCCACATACAATCTTTTAATGATTTATCATTACTTAATTGGTTTATTTGGCATTTTTATTTTATTTTTTCAATAATTAAATAAAATTTCACTATTATTTCATTTGATAACAATTTGATATTTTTTGTCAAGTTGCTCTATACTTTGACCACAAAGTGTACAAAAAGTATATTATATTTAATTATAATGTAAATTTAAAAAAAATGTATCCATTTGAAATATTATTTTCATATATATCAAGTTTTTATGAAATTTAATTATTTAAAACTGTATTTAATTTGTAATTAAAGTGTTACATAGTTTTACCAAAAAGGTCTAATTATTATAATCTTTTTGAGATGAAGGGAGTATATAGATTAAAAATCTTAATATATTTTATTCAATGATTTCATTCATTTGGAGTTTATATGTTACACCATTTTAAAATATATTTTTAAAATATATTTCATACATAATTAGTTATATATCTTTAAAAAATTATAAAATTTATTAATCTTTAAAAAAAGAAAGCATGATGTTGTTTTCAACAAAGTATTCATCATTTTCTCTTTTATTACATCTCAAAATAAAGATTTAATTTATATAAATGTTAGTACATCTACATGAATATTAAAACTAAAACTTTTCTCTCAAGAGAGATATTTTATAGTTAGAAAACATTTATCAAACACATCATACATCAGTAGATAATTTAAAATAAGTATTTAATTTTTAGATGTCAAAATTTATAAATATGCAAGCCCGTGTGAAGCACGGGGTTAATACTAGTAAAAGTATAAAACTCAAGAACAATTCACATTTGTGCACGTGCACACACTATTAAAAAACCCATGCATTGTCGAAACAAACTATAAATGTAGTTTATAAAAGAAATTTTAAAAATATACCACTTCCCATCAATATTGTCTATATAAATGTATATTTATCTTTCTTTAGAATTATATTATATTATCTTATCTTTAAGTATTTTTATCATTTTCCTTCGTCAAAACTTTCGATGATTCTTTAGTCAATAATTTGTCCATGCAACGCACGGATACGAGTCTAGTGAGTCAATAAGCACCAATGCAGAGAAATATTCTGAGGCTCTGTTTGGTACATGGAATTCAAACTATGGAATAGGAGTTATAGAACCTTATAAGTTTATTGCTGCTTATCAACAATAAGTCAATAAGCACTAATATAGAGAAATACTCTAAGGCTCTGTTTGGTACATGAAATTCAAACTATGAAATTGGAGTTGGAGACAACAATTCCAATTTTGCTGTTTGGTAGCACAAAATATGTGGATTTGGAATCGGTAGTGCCAAAAATGAATTGTAATTCACTACAAAAAACTCCCGGAATTGGCACGGAATATTAGGCACGGACATTCCGTGCCTATGCCGAAAAAAAGAAAGATGACACATGGCGTGTTTCTATTTGCGTTTTACTTTGGCTCTGCATTTGTCCGTGCCTAATTCCGTGCCAATAGCGTAAACGTTAAGACGTTAACGGTGTTGTCGGACGGCGATTATTCTAACTAATATGCACGGATTTAGCCGTTCCAATCCCTTACCTTTCTCTAAAAAGTCAAAATCGAAAAAGACAAGACTATTTTGTCATGGAAATAGTCGTGCCTAAATCCGTGCCTCTACCCGTAGTACATAATTTTATTTATTTAAACATTTAAATCATACTCATAACAAAAAAATTTATCTTTTAAATATATTAAAATCGGAAGATAACAAGACTAAAATTAGAGAAGAGTACATGATACAACTTTTTTAGATGAAATAAAGAAAAAACTACAAAAATAAAAAATTATAAAAACTTATCCAAATAAAATATCTACATCTATCGTCTTTATCCAAATAAAACAACTACATCCTAAAGTTTTTGTACTAAAGTTTTCTACTCCCTCCGTCCTAAAATATAAGCAACACTCCATTATTTAAAAATCACGGGAACTTTTATTTATTTTTGCATATTCATTAATTATTTGATAGAATAAAATATTCTTGTCACCACTTGTTTTGTAGAACTTTTGACGTAGTTTTTAAATATGTAATTTTTTTATTTGTAGGCCATTCTTTAAATAAAATGGATTGAAAATTTTTTGGGACAGAGAGAATATAAAATTTTTGTACTATAAAGTAGTTGGAAGTAGTTCACATTGCAATAATTGCAGTTCACCATTTCTTTATATATGAAACCATTTCATCTAGAAACATGCGGAGTATTTCAATTTCCTTACATCTATCCATCCAGGTACGATATATTTTTGGATTTTTAATTTCATTACATTCATTCAGTAAGTTTGTGTAATATGAACTTTCATTTCAGTAAGTA